TGCTATACAGGCTGAGGGGTCAAGTGAAGTGACATCTTTGCTACTGAGTCACTCTACCCCCTTGGAGATATCACTTACCATCCCTCTCTATCAGCTGACTCATTTTAAAAGAGAGTAAGGACCAAACAGGATAGGTCTGAGTCAGGAGAGACCTGCATTAGGGGAATGCATGTCTTGGATTAGATGAGTTGAAGAGTGACCTTACAAACTTTCCAGGCACAGAAGTCAGGGTGACACTCACCAAACACTGTGCTCTAGGCAGAAGCTCTCATTTTCACTATTTGGATTATCTCTCTTATTATTTGATTAAAATCAAACGGCTATTAAGCCCCCACTGAATACTGGTGGAAATGTGAATCTGAGGTTGCACACCATAAGCACACAGACTGCTTTGGTCTGGATATTTCCCTTCCAGTGGAGTTTCCCCTTCTCTTACCTCAGAGTAATGCAGTGGCCTTCAGCCTCAGCCTGTGCAGTTCAAAGACCTGAAGAATCCATTGATATCTGGCAAAGTTCTTTTCTCTTGACATGGTGCAAGCTGATTTAGCCAAAGAGAAGTCATTGCAAGAGAAGTGGGAGCTGACTCAGCCCCACAGCGAGGGATGACAAACCCAGAGGAGCCATCCTCAGACGTGAGCTGGTAGATCAGATTCACATGTGCCATAAATCACACTATAAAGGACACATGAGCAAGTGCTTCTTGCAGCTTGTGTGCTGTGGAGAGTGAGCTGTGTGGGAGCAGAACAGAACTTACCCCAGAGTTCAAGACAGGATAAATTTAACTGCAGAAACCCTCTGGGTAAATTTCTTACTATGGTTTTCCTTTCTGCCTCGGAGTCCCGAATTTATTCCTCCATCTTTACAGGCTGAGTAATCTGTTTGCAGACCCCTTCCTCCTTTTAGGTCACTTCTGGATCAAGCCCACTTTGCCAGGCTGGCAGGGAGTGCAGCAGAGGAAGCTGGGCAGCCTCCTGAGAGGCTCAGTCCCCTCTCAGTGTCCTGCTGTGCGTGCAGAACATGCCGTTGTGCTTGGGAAATGGAAAGCTGGGAGTGCACAGAACAAATCCCTCACACAGCACTGCATCCCTGCTCTGCTCCAACACTGCCCTCCTCCCGAGACTGCTAATTCAAAATGAGGCTGGAGGTGGAAGGATTGTAGGAAGAAACCAACATTTTAGTTAGTTTTTGAGTCTGAAGGTGCTGCCTGTGGAGACCAAAGGTTCACTCTCAGAAAGCTGGGGGTGAGGCAGCAGCCCTGCAGAGCCCTGAGGGCTCCAGCCTTGCCTGGAGGTATCTCCTACAAAGCCACGGTGGGTTCCACGTGTGTTCAAGGTTTGGTGAAATGGACTCTCTCCTCCAGGAAACACCACCTTCCACAAAGGCTCCTGCACAGCTGTCAGGTAACCAGGATGTTTCTAACCAGCTTGGCCCCCATCAATCCAGTGACTTTCCTTCTATTTAGATCTTACTTGCCTTTGAGAATTCAACCCTTCAACTCTTGTGTGTGTGCACACACAAACACACTAAGTAAAAGCTAATGGACGAGATGGCTCCATCTTCCCCCTTCTGAGGCAATCAGTAATAAATAACTGGCAAACCAAGGTAGGGCCCAGGGGAGGAAATGAGCCTAGAGAGAGATGTTTGCACACTGCTTCAGCAGAGGCACCTGAACAGATGCTGAGGGACACTGTGGCAGCAACCAGATACAAACTATTTCCAGGTTGAGAGGCAGAACACGCTGTGAGCACATATCCAAAGATAGAGGTACAAAAGCTACAACTTCTGGAGCCTCACCACTCATGGATCCTGGCTGCAACCACATAAATTGAAGAGCCAGTGCTGATCTTCAGGTGAAAGCAGTAAACCCCTGGCTGTGTCTGCAGGGAGGCACCCCAAGAATTTAATTTCATATTGTCCCTGAGATTTTTTTTTTTTTTTGCTGTGCAGTCTGATGAAACTTACACCACGTTGAGTGTCTGGCTGACCCCCTTCATACAGCAGCAAAGAACCCCCACTTATATTTAGAAGCCTCTTCTAGGATTACATATCAAGATACGTGCACTGGGCTGTTTTGCAGAATGCAGCTGCCTTGTAAGAAGCCAAAGGTGCCAACATGATCCAGGAGCTGAGGCCAGCAATTTCAAGTTTGCATCTGTCTCTGCCTGTAATATGTGCAGGAAAGAAAAGGGAGCTGGACTTGAGGCATTAGATGGTGCCTTCAGTGTGTGAGGACACTGCATCCAAAAACTGGAAGCCTGAAGCAGCTTTGCAGAAGGAAGACTCTGTTCATGCACCCAGGACACAGATGTTGAGTTGAAATACATTTTTCTGCTTCCCACCTCCCTCTGTTTCATCAAGTAACATCATTCAGCACATATATAATGTAGCAGGGTTTTTTCCTACCAAAAAAGGTGGGTCCAATGCAGAATAATGAACCAAATCTAAATCTAGATGTGTGACAATGAAGAACAAGTAATTTCCAGAGCCTGTCAGAGATAATGAAATTTGTATACATGCCCCTCAAAATATGGAGCAGGCACAAATTCCTTGGTCAGACACCTGCATTCTGTCTGTGCCACTGCTGGCACTTGGGCCTTGCTGATTTGGGCACTAAAATGTCATTTAGGCTCCCTGTGTTTGCTGCCTGCTTTGGGATGTCTCTGTCACACCTGCTACAGAACTGTGTGGTTGTACAGGGACCATTCCCCCTTTCCAGCACACAAGCTGCACTTCTCAAACATGGTTGAAAATTTATGTTAACATAAATAAATGAAGAGAACCAATACCAGTACATTAGTATAGCAAAAATAAGCTTACCTATGACACAGAAGCACTAAGGACATTAGAGGAATTGCTGCATTCTCTCCTCTCTGTCACATTAAGTGGTTTAATATAAAGCCTTTATTTTTATACCAATCAATAGCACTGTAAGGTACCAACATTTATCTTCAGAAGCACTGAAGGTACAATGGCTCAATTCTCAATTATATTAAGAGTGGGCCTTCAAAGATATTTATGAGGAACAAGATGCAAGTTAGATTTCCAGTATGGTTTTCAAAAGCTTCTGAACAAGTCGAGTGTCTAACTCTTATTGATCTCAAACCTTATCAGGCAGTTTAAAAAAATGCTTCAAGTTGCCTATCCCTATCCCCTGGTGCCCACATAACTCTGGAAACCTCCTTTTGCTGTGATTCACTTTATTCTGAAACTGTCCAAGGGGTTAGAAAAAGGGATATTACTCTTTTCAGTAGAAGAGGCAACAAAACTTAGGAAAGACACTTCCCACATACCAGAATAGACATGAATTAAAAGTAATTTTATTCCACTTGTCCATGACATTTCTATCATATCTGATAATAAGGCAAGCTACTAAAAGTCCCACAAGACATATCAGACCATTAAAATAGTATTCAAAAACCAAAGAGGAGTTCACAAAACAGCCAATTCTTGGGATCATCAAAATCAGTGGCAAGATTCCCATGTGGACAAATCAGTGTAAATGTTTAATAAATCAGCTGACTTCACCAGTGCTTGTGAAGTTTAATACTGCAGTAAGTAAGGAGAGGTGATGCTTCACTGACTTCAATGAAAAACAGAATTTGGCAGGAAGGAAAGGGAAAAAGCACATTGAAAATATAATATCAAGGCACAAAAAATACATGCTACTTCCAGGCATATGCTTTAACAGGTAAAGGTTGCTGGGAGGATTTTTTTTGTTTTTAATAGGTTGTTGAACTCCTGACAGATGATTCTTCTCTCACCTGCACCTGCAGAACTCCCTGGATTTCTGGGCAGTCGCTCCAGGTTGGTGTTGGTGCAGGGAGAGGGAGTGGGAGTTGGCACAGCTCGCTTGAAGGTGTGGTAAAAAGCAAACAGAGCAGCAACTGCTGAGGATGCAGCCACATCTTAATGCTCACCAGAGCTTACTCCTTTTAACATGGAATATTTGTGTGACAAAACAATTGTATTCTGTGAAACAGTTTCCAGCTAATAACAACAGCTGTCCCATGCTAAATTTCCCCAAGGTATCAAGAAACTGCAGTAATTTAGCAGCGATCAATTCTGAAACCTGAGGCTGCTCTTGAGTAGTGCCCAAGGATCAGGGAGTGTGTCTGTAACTAGGCAGAGGTGCAAAAGTCTGTCCATCTCTGCTGCAGTGATGCACAAAACACTCACAGAGATGAGAGGAAGAACTCAACAAAACCCACATGAACAAAGCACAACACAATGAAACTACGTGCCTTGCTAGAAGCACAACAAAGGGATGAAGGACATCTGTTTAAAAAGATCTTTTGTCAGGTAAAAAAAAAAAAAAAGGAACTTTTTACATATGTGAAGTTTAAAGAGGAAAATATGATCAGTGCAAATTTAATGCAGGACTGGAGCTAAGTCAAGGGAGTGCAACAATGAAAGACAACAAAACAAAAGTAAATCATTAAGAAAAACATAGATGCTATGGAAGAAGAGTCTCTCTTAATAATCAAATGATTGAAATCGGTCCCAGGTGGTTAAAAATCCAAGGTAAAGTTCTAAAAGCTGAGGATGACAAAAGAAATCAGCCAGAGTCAGAGTGTGCCCACAGCATTACAAAATCACAGAGCAGGATAAAATCACAAACCCATGGGTACAGTTGTGTCATGTTGAGACTATTATAAAATAATGAAAAAATCCTTAATGGCCTGATCCAAAATCTGCCAGAAATAACAGGAGTTCTCCTACTAGCTTCAGTGGGCTGTGCATCAGATCTTACACTGTGCACCATAAACAGTCTGGATATGTTGGCTTTGTGTGGCTGGGGTCAGCCAGGGAACATCACGGATCCAGCATACATTCCATGGAAATGAGAAAGAAAAGGGATTTTTTTTTTAGGGCATCTCATCATACATTAGGGTGAAAGAGAAAATGCTGCTTTATACTGAGATGTCTTATAAATAAATAATTTTGAAAACCTGGACACGCCATGCTGATTAACTAACTGGGCTATCAGTTCATTCACCAGCAACATGCCTCTGCAGACTTGTAGGGTCAGAGCTAACAGTCTGGAATGGTTTCCATCTCTTCTTTATCCCCCTCCAGAGGTTTACATGTTGATATCATCCAAGTGCAGTCCTGGTCTTCAGATAGCATGCTGCAAGGACACAGAAATATGTGTGTTTAAAGGAGGAGAAGACAGAGAGTTTGCCCTGTGAGTTTAAATTATTAATTCTACAGATCTAATGGATACATTATGCCACATTAGTGGCACTTGTTCTCTTAACAAACATCCCTCTAGACTAGCAGCTCAATACAGTTTTGAATCAAAGAGCTGAGTTTCTAATGGCACTGGTCATCTGTCATTCCAAACTGAATTTTTAAACTGGGTTACCTGAATCAATGCAAATTAGGGCCTTTCATTGCCAGGAAATGGGCTCTTATTTGACAAAGATTCAGGAAGTCAACAGCATCTCTGTTTCCTTGGAGTGGTATGTAAAGCAGTCAGACAAGAACAACACTCCAGCAGTGGAGAACTTGGTAAATCCAACAGTAATACACAACATGCTTTAAAAGGACAGGGAAACCTGTCCTGTGTGTCTGAATTAGGAGAGGAGGGATCTGGGGAGTTCCCTCAAATTCTTGTGCAGGGGAAAGCTCTCAGACAATACCCACGGGTGCCCTGACCTACCCCTGGATTCTGGGTTCTGCTGGAGTCTGAGGGATCTCCTCCATCAGGCAGCTACAGTCTAGCAGCTCCTCCAGGAGGGATCTAGGACCCGAGGCACTGCACAGTAAATATATCCTGCAGGCAGCATCATTGCCTTTGCTGATTGTCTCTTGGCAATTCCACTGGGTGGAATCCATTGTGGGAACTTCTCCTCTGTGCACAGATGAAACAGCTGTTTGTGGACCAGGATTTTTCATGTGGTTTGCTGAGGAAGTCAGGCTGATATAACCACAGTGTCTGTGCAGCTGCACACTGTGCCACTGCTCAGCCTCCCAGCTGAGGGAACACTCTGAGAGACACGTAGAGGACTTTAGGCTCCTGTGTTCTCACAAATTCAGTAAAACAAGATAAGGATCAAGGAAATAATCAGTATGTGCCCTTACCAATAGAAAAGCAGCAGAATGAGCTCCCTGGCTGGGTGGACACCAAGAATTAAGGAACAAGAATGCCCTGACTTCTGGCTTGGAGCACTATCCTTTACTGGCAGGCCAATCCCTGCAGCACAAGACCCTGACTTGTTTATTTTTATGGTAAGTTGCAGAGGACAGGATGGCCAATGTAAAGATCTGGAGGATGGCTGAGGACTCCCTGGCCTTGTGCTGGTCTTCAGCTTATTCTGTCTCTGAAAGACAGGCAGTCACTGAGTGAAATATCTGCAAAGGCTTCCCAGAGCCTCAGGAACAGGATGGCAGAGATATTAAAAATAATCTTGCACTCCTTTTCCTGCTGAAGAATTATTTCTAAGTCAGTGAGGAAACTGTATGTGTGCAACTGTCCCTGGTGCACAGTCTGAACACTTACTCCTTTTCCTTCTACCTGGAATTTCCAATGCTGCATTACTGCACATGTGCTTGATTTAAAACCCTTCTGATTCTGAGCAGTGCAAGCTGATGCTTTCCTCACAGCCTGGCTGGCTTTGTGTTCCTTGGAAGCCATGCTGACAGGTGGCACTTCTGTGGCTTCCCTGGGGCTAAGTTCTAAATCAAGTGAGATTAAAGAAGGGGTCAGAAGTTCAGGCTCCTCTACGAAAGCATTAAAATATCATAATGGTTTGCATAAAACTCCAAAGTCACAGCGTTTTGGCTACCCTTCCTCAGAGCAAAACTGTTGCTGTCTCAGTCTTTTACTACTTTTATTTCTCTCTAACACCTCTCACTCATCCTCCACATTTCTCCTTGGCTCACTCCTACTTGTCCAGACTGCAGAAATCCACAAGAGAGAGCACAGAAGACTTGGGCTGTACATGAAATTCTTTGTGTCTCAACTGGGTGGCAAAACTCATATGAGTTCTAGTTCTAGAACAGCACTGTGAAGTGTCAGTCAGACATTAGAGATTGTCTGCAAGTATGTGCTGTGAGGAGCTGAATATTATTCTGAACTACTCACATGGCAGCATGAAGTAGAATATGACACGTTTAGATTCAGTTAAGAAAAGGGTTTGGGATACCTAGGATCTCCTTCAGTTAAGTAAGGAGGATCCAGCCCAGCCTTTTGTTTCCCCAAACCCTGGCAGCAGAACTCAAATGTAATCTGAGGATGTCTTGTGTCAGCAAAACCCAAAACAAAACAGAATTTGGAATCTGCTTCTGAAAACCAGATTGTAAATGACTTGGGAGCCCTCACTGAGTGACCAAATTACCACCTTTTGCTGAACAAAATGCTTAGGGGTGGGGAGGCTGACTCCAAGTCTGTGCAAGCCTGGGGAAGGTTGCTGAGAGGAGCTAAGAGGAGCATGAGAACAGTGGCACTGGATGGGAGCAAACAGGGTATGGCACACACAGGCTGTGGCACACAGCCCTGCCCTGCTCCAGGTCACTGTGGTGTCCCCTCAGGGAAGGCAAATACGTCCCATTTCTCACTGCAGTTCGTGATGGACAACATGCCTGAGGCACACATGCAGGGCCAGACCGTGGTGACACAAATACCAGCTGAAGTGACATCTGAGCAAGCCCTGGAAATGTAAATCAGCGCTCAGGACTGGCAAGGCAGGGCACAGGGGAAGCTGACAGGAGAGGGTCAAAGCAAATGGGGAGAGTAAGAATAAATTTGGCCCAGTGTGGAATGAGACACAGCCCTGATTTTGCAGACAGCACAGCTCTGCACTCAGAGTCCTCAGCACAATGAGGGACATGCCACTTTATCAGGACACTGATCAGGACACACAAGTTTTATTGCTGGGCTGTCAACTCCACTGATGCAAGTGATGGCTTCCCCTTGCCTACATTTAGGGGCATGACTGCAGAACGTAGATGGTTCCCAAGTGTTGGTGGGCCCTGTTCCAGGATATAAATATGTACCACTACATATCCTAATATATGTTTGCTAAAGATAACATGCCAGTGTTGAAGACAAATGAGGCTCTCTGAGGCAGCAGGAGAAGCCCCAAGCTGACTTAGCTCCGAGTAAATCTTCAAAATGAGAAGTCAAGGCTGTTTCTTCCCTGCAGACGTAGGTGTTGGCTGCTGTTATTCCTGTGCTACTGTTGCTCTGTGACTGAACAAACCCAGGAAGGCACATGAGGACACTTGGGAGTAGGGGTTTAGTGAAAAGTGAAAGGGTCTTCCTCTTCCCAAGAGGAGCAAATTATTGCCACTATTATTGGGGGTACATTTGGGAGTATTATTGGTGGTATAAAATAATTGTTTGCTCAAAGCAGGAGTTTTCTGCTCTTCCTCTCTCTGCAACTTGTACCATTTCTACCCTCAACACACCTGACTTGATGTATTTCTCCTGGCTGAGGCATGTGAAGTGGTTTTGAAGGAGGCTTCAGAGCCAGCTGAGCCTGATTCAAGTTCCTGTACCAAGAAGAAAAGTTGTGTAACAATTGATAGAAATTGCCCCCCTGCCAACCTGACTTGGATGTGTCACTTTTGTTGCTTCCCAGGAGCTGGATGTTGTGGAAGAGAACTCGAGTACTCAGTACACTTTGATACTTGCAGCAGTATCTCCCACAGGTAATTTACAGTGAGATTTGTTATCTTTTGAAGACCAAAAGAAGCCACAAGGAATGTCAGCAGGAAGAAGTGGGTACTGTGGAATCTGATTAATTTCAAAGTGGATAAAGTACACAGGAATCAATCTTGGAAGGGTCAAGCTTTTCGAACATATTGCTGAAATCTAACTTTCAGGAAAAATGCATGTGTAGGTCATGGAAATACTAAATGTGTGCTTAATGGTAATCAAATTACTCTGCCATATTATTGTATCAAGGCTATTTTGTGCTACCTTACTAATATTGAAACATATATTAAAGTTAGCATAGAATTAATTTACAATCACTTCAGCAGAGGCAAAGTGGGTGTCAATAAATAATCATGAGAAAGGCACAAATGGATGTGAGATCACTGAATGGAATGTGCAAAGCCATTCACAGCAGTGGCACTAAATGTCAGACAAAGACAATTTAGTATAAAGTAAAAACCTCCAAGAATAAGGCAACAGAGGGGACCCAGGTAAGAATGGAGGGTGGAAAGACCAGCTGGGTCTGTTCATTCATTTTCACATCAAAAGATTGTTGTTGCCATCAAATCCTTTCTTTGAAGCAAAGGCTTTTTGGAGGGTGACAAGAGAGAAGGAGAAGGGGAGCAGTAAAGAGGCTGGAAAGGCAGAGAGCAGAGTGAATCCAGTACACCCTGCTTCCTCACAAAAGTCATTGGCCATTTGGCCAGGAAAGCTCTGTGGAAACTATGTACAGAAATTAATATCCCAGCAGTGTTCCCAGGCACCTGGCTGCTTCCACCCAACAAAGAGTTTTCTCTTTAAAAAAAATCCAGAACCAAAACCAATTTAAAAAGTCCTCAGAAGAAAAATAAAGTTGTATTATACTGTTTTATTGCTGCCTGGTCACTGTGAATGCTTCAGGCCAGGGCTGTCTGCCACTCCTCACACTGCCCTTCTCTCCCCTACTTTGAGAAAAGTAACAGAGCTGCTCTTCCTGCCTGAGAAATGATGAGTAAGATGGTGGAGGCGAACAGAAGAATTTACTGCTGCTGTCAATTACAAAACTTGGCACCCCCAGCCTGAAGGGACTTGGGTTTAAGTCTGTGAGCACTGAACGAGCTGAGCACAAGCTGAACCAAATCTCGTGCTTGCAAAATGCACAGAAAATTAATGAATGCACAGGACACTTCAGAGTCTGCAGCACCATCTAATAATATCCCACAGGGCTGGACCCCGTGTCCAGTAACTTCCCCACAGCTCAGTATGTTGTACTTCAAATTTTGTATGAAAATGCTGTACATGTTTAACCAGTTACTCCATTCCACTCCCTGGAGATGTCTTCATTTCAGTGGTAAATGGGATGTTCTCTGTTTATAGTTTATGTATAAGTGTGTACAGTGCATTGAAAGGCCCTCCAACCAAACCAGCCAATAATAAATTCATTTAAATTGGTTATTTTAATGAGAAGTGCAGAGTATTGAGGAGAAAAGAACATATTGTTGCACAACCTTAAGAAAGATTATCAATACCCTCAATTACTTTTATCCTCTTTTCCAGTAATCCATCTGGGTAACCCCTGTGTTACAGAGATTCATTTGTTGAGCTTTGTTTCTATTATTGCAGGTTGGAAGGCAGGACAATAGCACAGCACAGAGAGTGAAGGGCCTTACCCCACAGAGACCCAAGCCAGAATGACATTTGTGGTCACTTTTGATACAGTTCTGGTCATCTGTTTTACTGTCAAACAGTGGAAGAGTAATTGACTGCTGGCTCCTCCTTGCAGATTTAAAAGATCAGTTGGCCAGACCGTGAGACTGAAAATTAGCACCTTGGGACTCTGTTACATGAAATTTAAAGATCTCAGGTCACTTGGTCTGAAAGATGGTGAAATTGAAGAGGAGAAAAACCAAAAAGCAACTGGCCAAAATTGGAAAAACATATTGGAGCTGCAAGAGTTTCTAGAAAACCCCCTGCTGCTAAGACAGAGTCACTTGTGTTTAACCACAGACAAGAGAATTTTCTAAGCCGTAAAATACGAAAAAGTTCTTTTGGAAAGCATACATGCATCCCTGAGCAGCCGAAGGGAGGCAGCAGGGCCGGTGCTGAGTGTGTGCTGTGGGACAGCCCCTGCTCACCGTAGTGAAGTGCACCACGCAGTAGATGCCGATGATGACGAGGCCGATGATGATGGAGGCCACGGCCACCCAGAGCGCGTTGCGACCCAGCCTCTTGGAGCCTTCTATGTCCCCTTGGTTGTAACTGTTCAGAGCCTGCAGAGGGGACACAGGGAATCACAGCTCTTCCTTCAAAACAGAAACCTGCTGGCAAAGCAGCGTGGCAGCTCTGAACCAACAGAACCAATCAGTGTCTGCTGCCAAGGCCAGCAGGGAGTCCAGTTTTCTGTCCCACTCATTTTCAGTGCCTTTCATTGAAGCTACAGCTCTTTTTTTTTTTTTTTTCCTCCAGTGGTGAGGCTTTGTTCATGTGATACACACCAGCATAAAAGCTGTCAAACCAACATCCACCCTCTTGCATAAACCATTGGCTTTTATCTTTAGAAATAATTTTGGAGTATATGGGAATTGTTAGTTGGCCACTTCATTAGCAGTGAGATAAAGTCTTATGCTTTATAAGACTATAAGCATAAAAAAAGAGCACAAATAGGCTGCATTTTAAGAGAAATCTCAGCAAAACTTTCAAAAGCTTACTAATTACTTATTTTTCCATTATTTTACTTTTCCAAACAAAGTTTGAAGAATTACTAGGTAGTTTGCTAGTGGTGGAAAAAATACAAACCAAAGAAATATAGGTCATCTGAACAAAACATCTGAATGCCATCCTCATGGGCCAGACGTTGTGTTCCTTTGCATTTCTGGAAGACACTGATAATTATTATCATATCCATCCTGAGGTGTGCATCAGATATCCCCATATTATCTCAAGAGACTCGAGTTTCTCTCTACCCACCCGTGGCTTAGCAGATGCTTGACATTCATTACATGTTCAGATTGCAATGTGTGATAGGACCACTCTGACCTTCTAGGCTTTTGTGAGACAGACTATAGGATTTTCTGAATTAATTTTTGGTTTAACCAAACCATTTCTAAAGGAAAAAATTCAGTGAAATACACAGAAGTACTGTAGTACATGAGTCTAAACACAGTTTGTAGTATTTTTTTTCTCAAGAATGAGATTGTATCAAATCATTAAAAAGGGCATTATTCCTAAGAATTCATTTCTAAAATAATGAGAGTTTGAGTTCATAAACCATAACACTGAGTCCAGATTTCTTGATCAGATTGCTCTATTGAACTCAGCACACTTTCTCAGGGAATCAGATTAGTCACAACATGGTTTTTAGTATCTTGTATATATTTCAGGAGGTATCAGAGGAATGGGAAGAGTAGGGGGAGAGATATGGGGACCTGATCAAATTAACTGTTCTCTGGACTAAAGAATTCAGGTTGTCTCTAGAAAGCGAATGCATGAGGTATCACCAAGTGCTATAAGGAAAGTGCTTCAGTTATAAATCACTTTTTGCAGCAAACACAGAATAACAGAGTGAAGAGCTGACACTGTGGAGAGCAGGAAAGGGAAGAAGTTCAGAGCACACCAAGCATTGCTGTAGAGCCATTTCTCCCAAGCAGGAAAGCAATGAGGGGCATGATGTGTGTGCTGTGTCAATTAGTGAGCACACAGAGCTAATGGGATGGCTGCACTCGTGGTGTCAGCACTGCAGGAGCATCAACCCAGCCCAGACAGTCCCAAAGCAACACAGCCTGCATTCCTAGAATTGCATCTCAAGGATAAGTGCAGGTACTTATTCTCTGGAGTCTACAAAAGGCTGAGATGCTGATGCACTCATGTCCTGAAAGAGAGCACTGATACATTTCTTCCCTTCCTGGAAGCCCACATGCCTAAACATTTCTCTGGTTTATGTCCCCAAAGAATATCACTAATACCTCTGCTCTGCTGTCAGATTTCATTGAGGCTGGAAAGCACATAATGGGGAAAGAGGCAGAGATGGACACGAGCACATGGTCACACAGGACAGGGTCAGCCCTGACCCTGCTACAGCGGGGCTGGCACAGTCCTCTCACCTCAACCACTCCACTGTCCCCAGCACTCCTGGCTGCAGAAGAACTTTCTCAAAGTACATTTGGGAAGGTCATTAAAAGGATTATGAGGAGAAACACAGCTCAGCTTGGCTGTGAGCAGACTGACCTCCTTCTGTCTCTGCCCACAACCACCAATGCCACTGTGGCTGCAGGGAGAAACACAGAGAAGCACCACAGACAGCCTGGCCCTGGACTTTGTGCTCCCCTCTTATCAAAGGACTCCCCTTGCGTGGCATCTACAGGGGGGTTCTGCAGACACCATGGACTCAGCTCCCCAGGTTTGGGGTCTCAAAAGTGAGAGCAAGTTGTAAACAAGACCTGACAGCACCAGCTTGCAGTTCTGGGCATTTTACTAATGTATTTAGGAAGTCTGGAAAATATCCATGTCATTTCTGCAGGTACTGCATAAATAATTCACTATGCAAACTTTAATAAATAATGTCATTTTAATACAAATCCATGATGAAGAGGAGGAAAACAACATTACAGATAAAGAATAGGATTTGGGAGAGACAGGAAGGAGACTGAAGTTTCTCCATGAAGAGGTTTAAATTAAATGAAATAACTTAGAAAGCATTCAATAAAAAGTAAGAGGTTTGAGGGAGTGGTTGGGGTCTGATGCAAAGCTTTTTGAAATTCATTACTTCCATCTGCTTCAAAGGGCTTCTGGTCAAACTTCCAGTTTTCATCATTAGACAGAGATTACATTGGCTGTTAAAGCCTTAACTGTTACATCTATTTATTTCCAAGGGCTGGGCAATATATTGAGAACACAGCATCTGTATGAGGCATTTGTTCTGTCCAACTTTTAAAACAAATTTCAGCCCTTTTCAATCTAACACCATCTGATCTCTCAGGTTTCTGCTACCTCTCTTGCTATGAAGTCATAATGTAAATTAAAGCCACAGTTCTGCAGCTGTTTATTTACTTGAGTAATCTCAGTGACTTCACCAGGTTCACACACATCTATTTATAAAACATTCTCAGTTCAACAATAAAGTGACTTGAGCTCATGTGAACAGAAATGTGCTGAATTAGCTATAAGATATTAATCCCTTTTTATGTGTGTTTTCTGTTCCACACTCCCAGAGCACTGATCATGGCAAAACCAGGAAGAGCACTGAGTTACTTCAGAAATCTTCCTCTACATTTCTTACAGATCTGGGCAGCCCAGACTGAGGTTCTCTGATCAGCATTTTCTAGGCTCTATAAGCCAGGCTGGGTGAACCTCATTTGGCTGTGCCTGGAAAGGAGACCTAAGGAAGAACTAGACCTGCTGACTCAGGGTGACTCCTCACTCTAGGAACAGCTCACAGGGAAACACAAAGAAGAGGGGGGACTTGGGGACCAATTCAGAACAAGCAGGTTCTGAGCAGGACACGTGAAAGGGGAGTTTGTTCTGCAGAGTGCTGCAGAGGAAAAACAAAAACCTTCCAGTTTGCAAAGGCAAGGCAATGCAAAAATGCCTTAACAGCAGCTGCTGAGCCCTGTTGTTTAATATTCCTGAATATTAAATATGTTGTTTAATATTCCTGAAGTGAGTACAGGTTGTCCCACATGGTGTTAGATATCCAGTTACCTACAAGCTACCTAACAAGAGATGTATAAATAATAAACTCACAAGTAAACTTTCTAACTACAGAAACACTGGTCACTCTGCTGGCCACTGGGCTGGCCACAGCCAACACACTGCACATGGCTCATTAGGATCCCAGGTAGAAGAGGGGGCTCCCTGAGAAAGCAAGGTCCATCCTTCCCTGTCCCCACAGCTTCCACCACCCTGAAATTTGTTGTCTCTGCTTAGGGAAACCCATATAAAGACAAGGCATCTGAATCCAACAGCAACAAATGCAGACAAAGAACTTGTTACTATCAGAGGCAGATGAGCCAAGATTGTCACAGCTTGACCACATATGTTGTTTGAAGCATGGAAATGATTTAACAAATATGTGTCAACAGAAAGAGGGAGTTTGGAGCAAAAATCAGTGAGAAATAGCTTTGGAGAGACTGTTTGGAGGTTGTTACAAATGTAAGGCCCTATGGAACTACAGGACTGGTCTGACATAGAGATCTTTGAAATAAAGACAGCTGAAGGGGGGAAGTACTGAGAAAGGCCAACAAAACATGTTTAATTGTCAGACCTCAGTGCTGGCATTGAAAATATCTGATTCCTTTCCCAGAGTTATTCCACAGCCTCAGTCTATCCCTGATGCCATGAGCCAGGCACAGCCAGTCCCCCCCAGCCAGGTCTCAGACACAGCTGGCAGCTCACTGGGAGCTCCTTGGGCTCACGCTGCAGATAAGGAGCCAAAGAGCTCGGTGACACAATGCCCACCCCCAGCCTTGCACCACAGAAATCTCCTGTGCCACAGAAGCCTCCTCACCTGGTACCTGCACCCAAACTCTTGCCCCTGATGCCTGTGGTCACACCTGTATGACAAAGAATAGGGCAAATCTGAGGGACGTTTTCCTGGGGCTGAGTGTGCTGATGGCACAGCAGCATGACACAGCTGCTCACAGTGATCCAGATGCTGGAAGCAACAAGGAGCAGAACTGATCTGGCTGGGGCTGCAGAAGGGTGTTGAGAACAGTGATCCTACAGCCAGGAGTCCTGGGGAAAACAGAACTCCATTTGCCAAAAATGCCACAACAGTGCTCACCCCAGAGAGTGGCCAATGGCTGGTTGGAGGGGGGTTCTTGTAATGCCAATATTGCAACACAGTGATGCCATTAATGTCCTTTCTACCAGCTCTCCTCTGACCCCTGCCATGAGAAACAGACAGGTAAGGAACTAGGAAAGGTTATTATTGCAATAAGGAGAACTTGCAAAAGGTTTATTCTAAAAATAAAGTAAAGGAGGTAAGGTCTGTAACGGTGAGGTTTGAGCCTGAAAAGGTGAGAAAGAAGTGAGGAAACCAGTGCTGGAGTTGTAAATGGGGCAGCAGAAGAGACAGAAGAGACTGAAGACAGATCTGTCATTTATTTTGGGGGTGTGTTAGAGCCCAGATTCTACTTTTAGAGTGAAAACATGGTCTGGATTTAGAACAGTTAAGGAGGACATGACACAGGTACACAGGGTGCTGAACCCTGCCCCCTCTAGAAGCCAATAGGACTTTTCCTTTTAGGCCCATTTTAAGAAGTGGAAATTTGTGGGGAAACCACTTGTAGAGATCTTTAAATCTTAACTAAGATCTCAGGAAGTTCTGCAAACTGTAAAGGTATCTTCTGTAAGAAAAGAAAATAACCCACTCTTGTATCTCAGTGTTAACCCTTAGCAACTCCAGCTGAGGAAGGGAGGGAGGATGCAGATCACAGCAGAAGTGGAAACAAAACCAGCAGAGGCTAAAATGCAGAACCCACAGCTGAGGATAGTGCAGCAGTTACAGGTTGCAGCTTGGAAAGGCAGGGGGGCTAGGCTGTGGAAAAGAAGTTGGATGTGTTATTTTTATAGGAAAGGAGAACTTTTAGGTAGGATGCTGTTGAAACAGAAGCTATTCCCAGACAGGGCAGGTTATTGGTGTGGTTTTTGTTTCCCCCTGTAAGGGAGTGGGCAGCTGAAACCTGCACAGGCTGTTCAGCATTCAGGAAGTGCTCTTCCCACCCTGGTTCCTTCATATCCCCTGCTAACAGTTTCTGATGCCTGACTCCAGAAGCCTGCATGAACTTCAACCAGGCTGTGGGTGGAGATTTCTCCATATGGGGTGCAAAAATCTTTAGAGGCCAAATTCTGTCCTTGACAGTTAACTTCTGTACAGCCCCAGCACCCTGATGAAAGCAGTGTCACAATGAACAGACGCTCCCAGCCCCAGATCATCAGCTCTCATTACTTTATATAGCACCCTCAGTGTCCATGGACAGAAAGGATGCTGAGTACCAGCAGAACCAAATCTGCCCAAAATAAGGAAAAGAGCATATTGAATAGTTAAGGTAACAACAAATAAAATAAACAGAGAAGGGGGAAAAAAAGAAAAAGAAAGAAGACAGCTAATACATAACAAAAAAAAAAAAAAAAATTGAACAATAGCTTTGGAATAGTAGTTTTCAAACTTCAGCAATATGATTTCTCATCAATCTTTACTCATGACATTTTATAAGAGTGTTTTTTGGGATATTTTAGGCACAGTTAGGTATTCTTATGCTTAATTGCAAAAAGAAATAACTACATTTTTACTTACCTTCTCAGCTTGGCTGTCAGAGAAAAGGATGAAAATACACAACATGTTTTAAACCTTTTTCAGCTCCTAAACAACAGAAATACATTGCAGTGTTACTGATAACACTGATCATGTATATGACTACAAAACTCTGGCTCTGACTCTGCAACTTTTAACTCAGCGAAGGAGATTCTGTTCCAGCAATCCTTTGGAAGTTAAGGGGATCGCTGGGTTATTAAGAA